CCCACTTGTTTATTTTTGCTTTTGCTTTTGGTGTTAGGTTAAAAAAATCATCACCAAGACCTATGTCAAGGAGCTTACTACCCATATTTTTTTCTAGGAGTTTTATGGTTTCAGATTTTACATTCAGATCTTTAATCCGTTTTGTGTATGGTGTAAGATAGTTTCATTCTTTTGCATGTGGCTGTCCAGTTTTCCCAACACCATTCCTTGAAGAGACTATCCTTTCTCCATTGTATATTCCTGGCTCCTTTATTGTAAATTAATTGACCATATATGCGTGGGTTTATTTCTGGGCTCTCTATTCTGTTCCATTGATCTCTGTGTCTGTTTTTACGCCAATACCACACTGTTTTAGTTAGTATAGCTTTGTGTATAGTTTGAAATCAGGGAGTGTTCTTCTTTCTCAAGGTTGCTTTGGCTCTTCAGGTTTTTTTGTAGTTCCATACAAATTCTGGGATTATTTGTTCCATTTCTGTGAGAAATGCCATTGGAATTTTGGTAGGGATTGCATTGAATCTGTAGATTGCCTCCGATAGTAAGGACATTTTAACAATATTGATTCTTCCAATCCATGAGCATGGAAAATCTTTCCGTTTATTTGTGTCTTCAATTTCTTTCATTAATGTCTTATACTTTTCAATATACAGGTCTTTCACCTCCTTGGTTAAATTTATTCCTGGGTATTTTATTATTTTTTTTGATGCAATTGTAAATGGGATAGTTTTCCTTATTTCTCTTTCTGATAGTGTGTTATTAGTGTATAGAAATGCAACAGATTTTTGTGTATTGATTTTGTATCCTACAACGTTACTAAATTCATTTATTAGTTCTAACAGAAGAGGGAACTCTTCCAAACTCATTTTATGAGGCTAGCATTACCCTGATACCAAAATCAGACAAGAATTCTATAAGAAAAGAAAATTACAGGCCAATATCCCTGATGAACATAGATGCAAAATTTCTCAACAAAATATTAGCAAACTGAACTCAACAAGACATTAAAAGGATCATACACTCCGATCAAGTGGGATTTATTCCAGGCATGCGAGGATGGTTCAACACCTGCAGATCAGTCAGTGTATTACACACATTAACAAAATGAAGGATAAAAATCATATGATCATCTCAGTAGCTACAGAAAAAGCATTTGACAAAATTCAACATCCATTTGTGATGAAAACTCTCAACAAAGTGGGTACAGAGTGAACATACCTCAACATAATAAAGGCCATGTATGACAAGCCCACAGCTAACATCATATTCAATGGTGAAAAGCTGAAAGCCTTTCCTCTAAGATCAGGAACAAGGCAAGAACGTCCACTCTTACCGCTTTTATTCAGTAATATTGGAAGTCCTAGGCAGATCAGTTAGACAAGAAAAAGGAATAAAAGGCATCCAAATTAGAGAAGAAGTAAAATTGTCACTATTTTCAGATGACATGATATTATATATAGAAAACTAATTAGCGACTCCATCAAAAAACTGTTAGAACCAATAAATGAATTCAGAAGAATTGTAGGATATGAAGTAAGTACACAAAAATCTATTGCATTTCTATACACTTGACATTTAAAACAAGGATAATAGTGCCTTCTTGCAGAGTTGTTGTGAGGATCAAATGAGAGAGGAACATGTAAAGTCTTGAGTACAGAGTCTGACCCAGAGCAAATAGTCAAGGGTTGGCAGCTGTTTTTACTATTCAGGGGTTGTTATCTTGAGTCAAAGGAGATGATGGATGTGAAACACTTTGTAAACTTTAAAGTGTAGCACAAGTGCCGTGGGTGATTATGCTCTTGAATCTGTTCAGGGCACAGTTTCTTCCACCATCAAGTTCCTTTTCAGTATCTGCTTGGCTTCCTGGGTTGGGGGTGCTCTAAGCAGTTGCAGGGAGAGTCTACTCATCAAGTGGTCCAGAATCTGAGAGGAAGTTTTGATGATACAGGTATGGGTAGGCCTTAATTTAGCTCTGGTCTTGCCTAGTTCTTGGTGGCCTGTTGGTAGTAGTGACCATTGGGAATGTGGAAATGGTTCCAGGGGAGGCCCAGGGCTGTGCTTCCTGGCACAAGGTACCTTGACTGACTTTCTTCTTGACCTCAGAGCCAAGGGCTCACAGGGCTATAGTTTGGTAGCATTGGCATTTATTGTAGTTAGTGCTGTAGAGTTGATTCCAGCAGAGCTGAACCCTGCCTGGTGTTTTTGCACCATCCTTTCACCTTCTGGTGCTATATCAGACAAGGCTCTACTGCTATTTATAGGGTTTTCATGGCCAATTTTTTGGAAGTGGGTGGCCAGGTCCTTCTTCCTAGTCTGCCTTAATCCGCTGAAACCTGTCCACCATGGGTGACCCTACTGGTATTTGAAATACCAGTGGCATAGCTTTAGCATCACAGCAACATGCAGCTGCTGTAGTATGACAAATGACAGATGGGTGGTGTGATTCCCTGACCGGGAAATGAACCTGGGCCGTGGTGGTGAGAGCACCAAATCTTAACCACTAGACCACCAGGGCTGGCTAGCGTTGGCACAGGAGATGAAAATAACTGCTAATGGTTGTTGAGTGCTTATTACAGGCCAGGCTCTCTGCTAAGTGCTTTGTATACTTTCACATTGAAGTTTAACAACTCTGGGAGGTGGGTTCCATTATTATCTCCTTTTTACGGATGAGAAAATTGAGACCTGTAAAGTAACTTGCCTAAGGTCATGTTTTTGATAAGTACATTTGGACGTTAGTCTGTCTGGTTCAAATGATCTGAACTCTTTTCATTGTTCTAAGTGATCTTTGCATTTAGCTGTGCATTAGAGTCACCTATGAAGTTCGTTAAAATTCCTGCTCCTTGGGCCCTAATTCTATAGGTGTGAGGTGGAGCCTGGCCTTGTACAAACAGGTCCATTCTGTGGCCCAAAGGACGTTTGGATAATAAAGTAGAAAATGTAAAATGTAGCTCTGAAACTAGAGAAGATTAGGGTGGGAACTTTGTGCCAGGAGTCTGGAGACTTTGCTTCTTCGCTCAGCTCTGCCGCTTGTTTTGCTAAATGACCTCTGAGTGTTTTCTGTTCTGTGTACCTCTCGTGGATAGATTAAGTGGTAAATAAAACGTGCAGGTGGTAGTACTATGGCTTCACGACATACGTTGTATTGACATTGGTTAGCATGGCAAAAGTAGATTGTGAAAGAAATTCTGTAAAGTTTTTATACTGGCTCTCAATAGTATACTGAGGTCCAGAGTGGGGAAAAGACTTGTTGAGAGTCACTCAGCTAGCTGGTGGTGGTATGGATTCTGAAGGTATATTGAAACCTGAATATGCTCAGCCCTTAAGTATTTCCTCTTCTGACCTTTTCTTCTTTCTCTCTGGTTTGTTAGATATGACATTTCCCCCCTTTCCTGAAGTCGTGAATGAGCATATAAGTTGTGAGAGAGAGACTCATCTTATTCTTCTGTCCCTTTATGAGTCACCCGGTTGTGTTCCTGGTGGATGTCTGCACTCTGGCACGGATTCAGGGATTTAGTTTCCTTATTTGTGATGTTCAGCTTCTCCTGGTCCCTGTGATTCACCTCAAGAGGAAATACCTGGAGCAGAGCCACAAGGCTGATGAGAGGAGGAAGGGACACAGAGGGAGAAAGATACGAGGGGTATTGCTGTGAAACGCAGAAGTGGTGATACAGGGCTGTAGGGTATAAGTGAAATCACCCAGGCCTCTCACTTGAGAAAGAGCCAGTTTGGGCAATGGCCTCATCTAAGAGGACACTGAGGTGTCAGGAGAGATAATCTTTGAGAACAACCTTTAGCCAGTTTGAGTTCAGGAGGCTATATAATGTTTAAGTTACTCTTAATTTCTATTACCTCAATGTCCCACCCTCCCCTCCTTTGGTTTCAGGGCTTTTTCAGTGAAGAAACTTAACAGGTCAAAATTATAACAGTAATAGATTTACTGAGCGTCTCTCATACTTTCACATACATCAGGTTATCCTCCCTGAAGCTCTACAACACATTAGAGTCCAGTAAAAATTTCTTCTTAAACAATCTTACAGATTACTTTAATGAGAAGAAAAATGGAACATTTAAGACATTTTTTAGAATCATGTGTTTTTAGAGCTGAAGGGACTCTCGAGATCGTATGGTCTGACCCTATCTTATGGATGAGGAACTGAGGTCCAGAGTGGGGAAAAGACTTGTTGAGAGTCACTCAGCTAGCTGGTGGTGGTATGGATTCTGAAAAGCACAGGTGTGACATGGAGAGTTCCCAGAAGAGAGATGCTCATGTATGATTTTTCTGAGGTATCAAGGAAGCTTCGGAGCCCGTTTTTGTGGCTAAACAATCACCAGTGACTGATTGCCCCAATTACCTCTAAGCCTCTTGGCCGTGGCTGGGAGACACAGACTGGCCTTCTGCCTTCTCCCAGATTGTGTTTTAGAGTGAAGTTAGTCTAAATTGAGGCTCAGCAGCTGGAAATTACAGGGTGCAAGAGATCTTTGGCTGAAGATGGGGGTTCGTTGGGAGACTTGCTAGTTGGAGCCACAGCTTAAGACAAATTTCAATATGACAGGCTTTAAAAGGAAAATATTAGCGTTGTGCTATGAGATTTGTGGTCTTTCAATATGGCCTAGGGAAGTAAACATATGCAGTATTCATTGTGATGGCTTTACTGCAGTGATCTTTGGCCTGTTGCAGTGAAATAGGGTTGTTCAGTTTCACCTATTTCTACCAGTTCCCTTTTTCTAATTTCTCTCTGCATTCTTCTCAGTTCTATCAGACTCTTTCCCCCTGACTTATCTCCATCTATCAGACTCTCAGAGCTACTGTAGATTTTGGGAGGAGGGATTGGAACATGAGCTGTGACCTGCAAGTCACTTTCCCCAGGTGGATAAACTCCACTGCAAGCCACAGAGGGGCCTCCTCATTCCAGCAATCTGGCCAGGCTGACAGGCTCATAGCCTATGGGGACAGAGGCGGGGGTGGGGGCCAGTATTTCTTGGGCTGATGAGGAACTCCCTGAGCTTTTACAGTCTGGGCAGAGGAGGTGGGAGGCCCTGGGGTGGTCTAGTCGCCTGTGCTGGGAATGCCTGGACAGATGTGGAAGCAGCTGGAGGTGGCACCGTACTTGGGTCGCTGGAGCTGCGCTGTTCCTAGGAGACGGAGGAGCAGTGAGCCTGTGGGGGAGGGGGAGCAAGTGGGTTGCTGCTTTTAGCAGCTGAAAGGGCTGCAGGGAGCTCTGGGTAAGACATTTTCTGCTGCTGCTGCTGCTGCTTCTGCGTTAGAAGCTGCCGCGAGTAAGTCAGAGGAAGGAGGACCGAGAGGGAGGAGGCTTCGTCTGCAGCCATGCTGAATCACTGTTGCTGATCAGATCTCCCGCTAGTTGGCTGGGAAAACCGAGAGCAGAGCTAGGATCCCCGGTGCGTGCACATTTCAGCAGCTGCCACCCCAGCTGGGCCTCGCACAATGGAGGGTGAGAGGTATGTATGTATAAGTGTGTGTGTGTGTGTGTGTGTGTGTGTGTGTGTAAGTGAATGTGTGCTCGGGGTGCAGCCACCAGCTTTTGTGCTTGTGCTGGTTAGGCAGGATTGGAAGGTCTGGCCACTGATGAATCCTAACGGGCGGCAGAGTCAGTCAGAGAAGGCAAGCCCCTTTCTCCAGAGATCTGGCTTCTGCAAGGGCAGATCTGGGTTTGCTGGGCAGCTGAAAGAAGGGCTTTCCTGTCTGGTATTTGGGAGTAGTTTCAGCAAAGGCTGAATCAGTATTGCCTTTCTTAGGCTGTTTCAAGGAGGCGTTTCCCCTTTGCTGGTTACTGTCTCCGGGGTGGTTTTTCTTGTGGGGGGAGTTTGATGTTATAGCAGGGTTGGCCTGGCATAGAGTGCTTGCATTTGCCCACTAAAGTGCTCAGATTTTCAGCAAGCGTGCCATGCTGATGTCTTTCCTAAAAGTGTGTGTGTATGCATGTATGTGTGCCTGTATACACACACAAGTTCAAGTAAGAAGGAGAAAAACTCATTCAGATGACACTTGCTCTGAACTGACTTTCATTTGAATTGAAAAGTTTGTGAATGATACTGGAAGGTGTGTGCTTTAGAGGAACTCTTGCTCCTTCCGTCAGGGGTTTCTTAGGAAATAGGAATCAACAGAAGGGAATTTAAGTACTTCTGTTGAGCTGGATCTAACCAGTGAGGGTTTGTTTCCTGGCAGGTGCATACATATAAATTTTAAACTATTATCTGAAGATCTGATTCTTTCATTGTGAAGGTGCTCACTGCGGTTCAGGGGCCGGTCATTCCTCTGTCTGTGTGCTAAAACATCTCATGTTGTGCCAGCCTTTTCAGTATGTGGGTCTGCAGTTGGTAGAGAACCAGGCTTGCCATTTTCCTTGAGGTGAGAAGAATGCAGGGAGGGGTCAGGCCATGGCAGTGGACCACTGAGGGGAGGGCTGCTGCTCTGAGTTGCCCGTTTGATGCAGATGGTAACCGGCTGGTTAAATGATAACAGATTCAACTAAGTCAATACTCTCTGGAGAGTACCTCAAAACACTTTCCTTTGTATGGATTGTCCCAACTCTTGCATCGCATGGGACAGAGTGATGTCATTAAACATATCTAGACCCCATTAGAACTGGCATGATTGTTGGGTGGCTTCTTGTCTGAAGAGGACCCAGGGACTGTGTTTCTTGATGTGATTCCCTCCAGCAGAGTCTGGGATTTTTTAGACTGAGTATGCTGCTGATACAGCTTCTCCCTGTGTGTTCTTTGCAACAGGAGCTTAGTGTTGGACTCCTTGTGGCCTCTGGGCAACAGAACGTCTGAAAGCCTGTTCCATAGGCTTGGGGCAGAGGTGGGCAGTGTCCTCACCTTCTCCTCTTGGGGTCTGGTAGCCAGCAGAAGGGCAGGGGTGATGTGAATCAAGGTATTTGCTTGACCCGTGGCGTATTGGGGCTGAAAGGTCCATGTGAGACTAGCAGCAGCTGATCAAAGTGCTGCTTCCCAAGCATTTTGGGGCATCTGCTGTGTTCCCAGACCTGTGTTCAGAAATGTATCAGTCCTTGCCCCCAAGGAGCTCTCTTGTTCTTCAACACTCTGGTTCCTCTCAGCTGGGATGGCTGATGCCTTGGGTTTTATGACACCTGTTTCTTGCACTTGTTCTTTTGCTTTTCCCCTACTAGAGGCAGAGAATAGGCAAGAAATCCAAACTGAGCAGCTTCCAGCGTTCACCAGGTCACCCAGCTCATTCCCTTTTGTTCCCTCTCCAAGTCCAGCTTACCATGCCAGGCATTCAAGTCTTCTGAAACCTGGCTGCAGTCTCCATTCCCAGTGCCTGTACCCCTGCCAAGAGATCTGTTGGTCTCTTTTGTGATTATCCATCCTGTATACTACTACATCCAGCTGCAGATCCTTAGCTCTCAGAGTTCCTTTTGCCTGGAATGCCTTTCCTTTCCTCTTTCCCAAAAGTTATCTATCTATCAAGGCTGTTTTAAAATTCCACTTTGTCTTGGGAAACTTAGCTTTTCTTGTCCTGGCTGATGTTCGTCCCAATTCCAGTACCTCTAGTTTGTATCTCATAGTTGGGTACTGAATAATAGGCCTACTCACTAAATCTTTTTGTGCTTTTGTTGATATATCTTACAAGTCCCCAAACTTGGAGACAGGTCCTCAAGGGCAAGGACGGTGCCGGTACCTCTGAATACTCCTCATTGACTACTGTGTGTCTGCATGCATAGTAGGTACTGGGTAATTATTTGCTGATTAGCTGATAACTTTTGTGGGAAGCTCTGATAACTAAAAAGAAAGTTGGTGAGAGAGGAAATTGTAACCTTTGGTCAATAGGTTCATCCTTGGATATCGGCCTTATTACCTCGGCACGGGTAATTGACCCCATGGAATGCTTTGAGGTAGGGGGAGAACAGGGGGAAGTAGCCTTGTTTTACAAGTTCCCTGGGAAACCTAGGGCCAGAGAAGTGAGTGACTGGCCTGGGATCACATGTCAAACCTCCAGAGACTGGAGGGATCCTGAATCTGGGGCTTGTTCCACACTTAACCCACTGAAGCTTAATTGGGGCTGTTTTTAAGCATTAAAAATTTTCAGCCAAGAGATTTCTAATGAATAATTTTCTTTCTTTGCCATGAGGGTATGAAAATAACTTCTGCCTTGAAAGGCTGTTAATTGAAGGCATGGGCTTTGGAGAAACATAGACCTTGCAATGAATCTGCTTCATAAACTGTGTGACCTTGAGTGTGTCATATTTTTTTCAGAACTAATTTTTCTTTATGGTATAAAGGGAGTAATAACAGTACCTATACCTCATAGAGTTGTTGTGAAGATCAGATGAGGCACTATGTACAAAGCACCTAGTAAAGTTTTTCTGGCACAGAGTAAGTACTCAGTAAATGGTGGTTGCTGTTATCGTTGGTGTTCATCTATTGCCCTGTTGTACGCCACGACTTGTGCTGGGCTACTAACCAAGGCTTATTTAGGGCCTTCCTATATTTATTGTCCAAAGCAGATTTTGTGGGACCATTCCCATGAGAAAATTAGGGAGAGCTGTAAGGCCATCACCTTGCTTCTACCTAAACTGTCTCCTCATAGTAAGATACCACACAGGGCTTGGCATTTCCATTTCTAGGTTTCACCAACACCTACCTCAATCTTCCTTTATATAAACATCCTGAGGCATCTTGATGCCTTAGTGATTCAGAACCATGAACTGGATACACCTTTGTTCAGGCCAAAATCTTAAGAAGATCCTGTGAATTTGCACTCACCTTTGCTGTATCCCTCAAGCTCTCCAGCTCTCTATGGGAGCTTCTGATGCTAAGTTTCCCATCTCCCTCTGTGGAGAATCACTGTGGCTTCATCAGAGGAAGATGACTCTGTCTTCTCTTTTACAAAGGAAAAGGGTCTCTGGCTCTCAGCTACTACAGTGATAAATTGTGTGTGTGTATAGAACAGATAGACATTGAAAATGGCAGTTGCTATTGGGATTTTGTTTCAGTTCTGGAAATTAGCCTTGTGGATGGATTAAAATAAAATTTCAACTTATATGGGTTACCCAGAGCAGTCAAATTCATAGAGACAGAAAGTAGAAATGGTAGTTGCCAGGGCCTGGGGAGAAGGAGGAATGGGGAATTATTATTTAATGGGTACAGAGTTTCAGTTTGGGAAAATGAAAAAGTTCTGAGATGGATGGTGGTGATCGTTGCACAATAAAATTATTTAGTTAATGCCACTGAGCTGTACACTTAAAAATGTTTAAAATGGTAAATTTCATGTTATGTACATTTTACCACCATTAAAAAAATTTCCCAGGCCCAGTCTCTGGCATATCTGCAAGATTTGCGGAGAACCACAACTTTTGGAAGAAGCATCATAAAAAGGGGAAGTTGGCTGTCCATTTTTCTTAAAACTGTAGTAGTTTTCTTCATCAAAAGCATTGAGATGCCCCTGCTTGAGAGGGGCACTGTGCTCCTAGCACTAGGCCATAAATTTGTCTTCAGAGGGAGAATGGCTCGACCTTACTGAGGAGAACCTGCTCCTGGATCTCGGGGAGATTCAGAGCTGGAAGGAGCTTATTTTTTCGCCCTTGATCCAGGAACAGATAGATCCTATTTTCTGAGAAGACATGACTTAGAAAGCTGATGCCCTCTAAATGCCAAGTTTTGCAGTGCCAGATAAAATGCTGGCAAGACCCAGGGAAGAGCAAGTGTTGAGCACCCTAGCTTTTTCTCTCTTCCCATGGCATGTCACTGAGTCCTCTCCCACCCCTAGAAGTCATGGGTAGAAACTTTGGTAGAAATTTTGGGCATTACTGCTGCCTGAAGCAGATGTGCACTTCAACCATAATTGAAACCAAATTTTTCATTTTGGAAATACGTTTTGGTGACGTAAGGTTTTCAACTGCAAAAAAATGAAGTCAGTAAAAGATTTAGCTTGCTAGGTTTTAGATTGTTAAGGCAGATCCAGACAAGAACATTTTTGGGTAAGTTTTCTAAAGCAAGTGCTTTATTTGATGAAATTTACCATTGTAGAACTGACCTAATTTTTTTCAATTGCTGGATGAACCCTAAAACTAGGTTAGACTGAAAAGAGATTTAATAAACTGTGTAAAAAATAATTTGAACATGCTTTACTCTCAGATTTTTTTCTATTAAATAAGTCCAATGGTTCTCAAGCTAGAAATCTATAACTTTTATAATTTATAAGGATTTTCAGACTCTTAACACAACTTTCCTGGACTTTTCTTTTTAACTTATGAAAGGCTATTGTAGCCTCTATCAAAACCACACACATGGACGAGCTCAGCTCTCCTATTCAACCCAAATAGAAGCTTGGTTTCTAAAATGCTGCGTAATTAGGGGTGTGTTTTCTTTTAGTCTTTCTCTCTCCTTGTCTAATTCTATCTGTCTGAACTCAATCGTTTCTCTTATGTTTTACATTTTTACACAGCCCTCTTAAGAGATTTTTCCCTGGTTTT